ATTTCCCATGATTTATAACACAGTAGAGTGTAACATAGACACAATAGAGTATAACACAGTGTTATATCAAAGTTCTGCATTTGTTGTCAAAATGACATCATTTCTCCACGACGCCAAAGTTTTGATTTTTTCTTCTGAAATCAATTTATCAAACACTCTCCAGCCAGCTTCATTACTTTGCAAAATATAATTCGAGTTATCTGGATTTTGATTCGCTGCATGGAGAGTCCAAATCTGGAGTTGCAGCAATCTTGCTAGAGTGGCCTCCACTAAAAATGACCACTCGACCTCTAAAAGAGGGCGGATTCTAGTGAACCCTTTCATGAAGGCATTTCCTGTTTGAGCGAAGCTCTTCTCAGGTGTGCATGTTAGAAGGGAGCTTAGAATGGATCCGAACTCGAACACCAGATAAGAAGAGCAAGTGTCCTCGAAATCGATTATTGCCCTGACTTCATCGCAACTAATTTCATCGGAACTTTAATATTTTAACTTAACATAAAATTTTCCAGTCTTAATTTCATGGAACTCAGAAGTTTGATCAGTAAAATGATTTCAAAAAGTTTTCATAGATGCGTATTAAACAAAAAACGCTTTAATTTTTTAATAAACTGAAAAACTGGAGACGTCTAAGAACAATTTACAAGACAAAAATTGGCTCTTTTTCAGTTTTCCACCCCCCTCGTAAAATTAAAAAACAAAGCTGTTCAAAAATTGTTCAAACGGCATGTTGCATGTGAGAAAATTTGCAGCAATTTAATCACCTGTTCACGCTGCCACGTTTTAATGTAGTTTATAACATGAAAAGTCATTTTAAACATACTTTCATGCTATGAATTTCAGAATAAAAAAAACAAAAAAGGGGGGAGGAAACTAAAAAAGAGCCCAAAAATGGAAACTCGAAGATCTTTCAAATACAATTGAATAATGAAGAGAAAAATAACAAAAAAAACTTAACGATTTTGACTTATTTTTCATTATTGACCAGAATATTGTTGCAATTACCATCTGAATGAATCACCGCTTCTCTGCAATTTGATTCTATTTTTTGAAAGACTCAGACAAATTTTTGCGTGTTTTAACGTGGTAGTTTACACTGTCGAAGCCATTTAGAGGTTTCAAAAGTTCGATATCATCGATTGAATAACTTTGCAAAAGTAGCTGGAGTAAATCTTCTTCAATCGCAAATGCTGGGTAAAATATAGCCATTTCAAGATAAGTTAAAAATTAAAATTTTAAAGTAACAGAAATACACTACACAAAAGCGTTGAATTAAATTTGGAGTAAGTTTTATTATTGGAGAATTGATCTTAGCAGGGGCTGATCTAGGATTTTTGTTGACCTTTGTTCAGATAGGTTGAGCAAAATGAACTTCCGAGCTCTCCCAAAGCACTAAAAAGACACTGTTTTGGTTAATTTTTGTGCGCCGCAGGCAAAAAATTGAAAAAACAGGCCAAAATAGGCGTTTTAGGGTACTTTTGGGGAACACTTTGACCAAAAAATTGCTTTTTTTTGGCGCGCGCTCCCCTCTCAAAATTATTATATATTGGCGCCGAAGGCGCCTATAGAACGTTTTTAGGGTTCGTCGCCCAATATGGATTTCTCAAAATAGTACAAGGGGGACCCTTTGGGTCGGCAGGGAGTCGAATCCTTGAGGAGAGGCGTCCGCCCGCCCTAAATCCCGCCCCTGGATCTTAGTAAGTGTTCTTGCTAAAATAAATAGCGAGAAAAACCAAGGTCGTAACTAAGAAATTTTCTGGTGAACGAAGAACAGTGTGTGAAAAAAGACGAAAACGGAAAGATTGAAACAAAGTTCAAAAGTTGTTCAGACGCTGTTTTAAAATTGATTTATTAATTTTTGAATTTTGCGTATTTTATGACATTGAATTCTGCTTTTAAATACCGAAATTTGTGGCAGTTCGTTATTCTTTGTTGAGTTGTAATTTGCGATAATTACGGTTAATTTACGTATCAAATGAAATGTTGTCAATCGGCCAGCTACCCGAAATCGATCTACCTCAGAACCAAAACGAGGCAGAAATATGGTCCGCCGACCCGGAGCGGAGCATTTCCTGGATTTGAGAGCTGACCCGGCTGACCTTGGAGGTCTCACCTCTTCTCTCTCTATTGGGTGGCAAGGATGTTCTCGCTAGAATTCATAGCAGGAAAAATTATAAAACAATTAGTACAAAAAATTACATTTCTCGCAGAGCGACAAAGTTTCAGACACTTCCGATACTACAAATTGTTTTGGATGATATTATAGTAGCACCATCTACGCGTCGTTTACTTGGTGACTTTAATAATATTATTTGAAGACAAAAAGAAACTCTCTGAAATCATAAGTATACCAAATGGAAATAAGCTTTTCCTTCAAAAAAGAAAACAATTAACTCTGGAAACAAAGACCAGTAAGACCTGTATAGATCTGTTTTCTCTCCAGAGTAAGAAAGTAACTAACTTCAAAACATCTGTAAGTGATCATTAAGGAGTCATTTTAAACTTGCAAAATTGAATTTCCAACATCACAAACATGCAAAATTGAATTTCCAACATCTGACTGTGGTACAAACTTGAATTGGGTTTTTTTTTGAAAGAGCTCAAGGAGTCTTTACAATAATTCACTTGTTGTTGAAACAAAAAGTAACCAAAAAAATGCCATGACTTTTTTTATTTTTGAACGAAAAGCTCAAAATTATCATTGAGTTATATTTACCGTAGAGAACAACAATTAGAAAATTCTTGAAGCCTTGGGTAGATAAAGAGGTGACAAATGCAGCTTCCAGAAAACACCGATTTAAGAAAATCTCAAACCAAATTGGTTCGTAAAATGCTATTCAGAAAAAAGAGCATTCTATCAAAACAAACTACAAATGTAATCAAACAGCAACAGCAGAGATTTTATCCGTCTGTATAACAATGTATCATGTGCTACCAAAAGCGACGACATGGTAGAGAAGAAACTAACTGTTAATGAATTTAACAACTTTTTTGCAAACGTTGGAAAGAAACTGGCGAGTAAAATTAAGAATTCAAATTGATTAGCGGCAAGAAAGTAAAAAATCTATCAGCGTTCTTAGCAGACAAAAACAAAATGAAAAATCAAATATAATCGCGAAAAAAGCAAAATCCGTTTAGGTTCAAATGCATTTATTCTTTATTTTTAGAAATCAATTTTTCCAGTTTTGCTTCCAGTTTTGTCTAAATTTTTACAAAAATGTTTGGATGGACAAACCTGTCCAGACAGTTTCAAAATTGTTAAAATTAGACCTCCTCTCAACAAAAGAAATGTTCTAATTCCATCAAATTACCGGCCAACTTCTCATTTACCACTCTTAGGTAAAATTTTTGAACGGGTCACTTATAACAGAACGAATTATTATCTCACAAAGTATTACAACAGAATTGCTGGTTTGAAATAAGTTCAGAAAAGAGTTCTATTGATGCTTTGTTAACCATAGTAGAAAGTCTCGTCAAGATTGGAACTCTAAGACCACGAAAACACAGTGCAATTCCCTTGAACTTAAAAAACACTTTTGATACGTTTGACCACATGCTTTCACTAGAAAAAGGTGACGCAGACTGTTTTCAGAGACTTGTATATATGGATATCTCAATATGGTTATCCCAAAATGGATATTTTATTTAAGAATATGGAAAATTTATTTAAGAAACCAACAACAAAACGTTGCCAATAAAACCAAACGATCTCAATGTGAAATGTATATTATGGAGTACCACAGTTCTCCATATCAGGCCCGCTTCTTTTCATAAACTAGATGAAAACAGTAACAGTAATTTTAATTTATATGCAGATAGCGCTGTCAAAAAACAACAGCTAGAAACAGTGAGTTAACCGGTAGACATCAAGAAGCGTTGGACCAATCAGCAAATTGGCCAGAAAAAACAAGCTCATCTTAAATAAAGACAATGATACTATCTAAGAAGAGCAGTGGAAAATCAGATATAAAAATGAATGGAATAACTAATGAAGTGAAACAACCTCTCCGTTATTAAGGTGTTCAAAATGACTCTAAGCTTGCCTTTATTGATCATGTTACAAAAATTGAAAATAAATTGTTAAGGTTATGTGTATCACAGGTTGAGAAAAATTTTAGGTGAAAATTAACTATTGAAAGCAAAAATTGCTGACGTGAAACTCATTTTACAGTACGGGTTCTTGGCTCAAGGGTCAACGGACAAAATTAAGTTAGAATCAACTTAATTTAAAATCAAACGACTACTGAAAATTATTTGTCTTTAATCAAAAACTTAGCGCATAGAATAAATAAAACAAAATCGGTAAAAACATTTGATTAAATAATTACATATCGATTAATTCAAAAATTACTATGTACGATTTTAAGAAAATAATGCAAATCGACCATAGTTCAGGAAGCTGTAATTGAGAAAAATTTGATAACAACTTCGAAAAAAATATATTTTCAGCAGAGCAGATACCTGTGCATACAAAGGGTTATCGAAAAGTTTTGATAAACTTTAGAATTAGAAATTTTTTTTCATTTTTGTTCTAAAATACTACCCAGATTTAGTATTCTGGATTCCGAGTTGCTCAGAATATCAACAACAAATTTTCAATCATTAGTTTTTGGAAAACTTTATTCAAGGAAATTATCAACTGTTTAAGCTCATTTTTGAGTAAAAGGGACATTTTAAAAATGTTTTGACGTCAAGGGTAAAGTTTTTTTAATTTCACAAAATTGTTTTTTACTATTTTTTGATTATCAATCGATATTAAAAACCAATAGAAGTTATAGCAAGATCGAAGGCGCGTAAAAACGGGCCGCAAAGTTCCACGGCGTTCTCGCAATGAGATTTTTTTTGGTTATAAATATAGTAACTTTTACAGTGAATGCAATTTATATTGCAAACAATTTGTTCTGATTATTATATACGTTTTGTCGAAATTATTTTTCTCCGCTGAGAAAGTCAAAATAAACCAAATTTTGGTTTAATTAAGTCAAAGCATCTCGTCTCGAGGTTCAATTGAATTTCCGATGATTTATAACACAGTAGAGTATAACATAGACACAATAGAGTATAAGACAGTATTATATCAAAGTTCTGCATTTGTTGTCAAAATGACATCATTTCTCCACGACGCCAAAGTTTTGATTTTTTCTTCTGAAATCAATTTATCAAACACTCTCCAGCCAGCTTCATTACTTTGCAAAATATAATTCGAGTTATCTGGATTTTGATTCGCTGCATGGAGAGTCCAAATCTGGAGTTGCAGCAATCTTGATAGAGTGGCCTCCACTAAAAATGACCACTCGACCTCTAAAAGAGGGCGGATTCTAGTGAACCCTTTCATGAAGGCATTTCCTGTTTGAGCAAAACTCTTCTCAGGTGTGCACGTTAGAAGGGAGCTGAGAATGGATCCGCACTCGAACACCAGATAAGAAGAGCAAGTGTCCTCGAAATCGATTATTGCCCTGACTTCATCGCAACTAAACTCATCGGAACTTTATTATTTTAACTTACCATAAAACTTTCCAGTCTTAATTTCATGGAACTCAGAAGTTTTATCCGTAAAATGATTTCAAAAAGTTTTCATAGATGCGTATTAAACAGAAAACGCTTTAATTTTTTGACAAACTGAAAAACTGGAGATGTCTAAGAACAATTTACGAGACAAAAACTGGCTCTTTTCCAGTTTCCCACCCCCTCGTAAAATTACAAAACAAAGCTGTTCAAAAATTGTTCACACGGCATGTTGCATGTGAGAAAATTTGTAGCAATTTATGTTCACCTGTTCACGCTGCCACGTTTTAATGCAGTTTATAACATGAAAAGTCATTTTAAACAGACTTTCATATTATGAATTTCAGAAAAAAAAACTAAAAGGGGGGGGGGAACTGGAAAAGAGCCCAAAAATTGAAACTCGAAGATCTTTCAAATAAAATTGAATGATGAAGAGAAACATAACAAAAAAAAACTTAATGATTTTGACTTACTTTTCATTATTGACCAGAATATTGTTGCAATTACCATCTGAATGAATCACCGCTTCTCTGCAATTTGATTCTATTTTTTGAAAGACTTCTTTCTTAAATCTCTGCAAAAATGTTGCACATTTCTTGATGCGTTCATCTTGGCCAAAATCAGACAATAGATAGAGAAAACTTTCACATTTGATCACGTTTTTCGGATCCCATTTAAAATCTCTGCGTTTTGTAATAACCGAAGAAAACTTCTGAAGCGCTATTGAAAGTCGGGCAAATTTTTCACCTACATTTTCGATAAGTGCTAATGAAAAGGGAATCATCTCAACCATAGGCGTTGCTTCTATGAATTCGATTAGCGTTACATTATGAAAATGTTTGCCCTCATTTTTGGGATTCTTACAGGCAACCATTGTCTTGATAACTGTTTTTCCATCTACGGAATTAAAAACTCGTTGTGTAATTGAAGGAACTTTTTGGTACAGAAATCGCATCAAGTTTATCTGGTCATTAAATATTTCAGACACATGATCAGGGTCGGTGCAAGGGCCAATTTTTAACAAAAAGTTTCGACAATCATCGAAATAAATTTTGCGTGTTTTAACGTGGTAGTTTACACTGTCGAAGCCATTTAGAGGTTTCAAAAGTTCGATATCATCGATTGAATAACTTTGCAAAAGTAGCTGGAGTAAATCTTCTTCAATCGCAAATGCTGGGTAAAATATAGCCATTTCAAGATAAGTTAAAAATTAAAATTTTAAATTAACAGAACTACACTATACAAAAGCGTTGAAATAAATTCGGAGTAAGTTTTATAATTGGAGAATTGATCTTATCAGGGGCTGATCTTGGATTTTAGTAAGTGTTCTCGCTAGAATTAATAGCGAGAAAAACCAAAGTCGTAACTAATAAATTTTCTGGTGAACGAAGAACAGTGTGTGAAAAAAGACAAAAACGGAAAGATTGAAACAAAGTTCACAAGTTGTTCAGACGCTGTTTTAAAATTGATTTATCAATGTTTGCATTTTGCGTATTTTATGACATTGAATTCTGCTTTTAAATACCTAAATTTATGGCAGTTCGGTATTCTTTGTTGACTTGTAATTTCCGATAATTACGGTTAATTTACGTATGAAACGAAATGTTGTCAATCGGCCAGCTACCCCAAACCGATCCACCTCAGAACCGAAACGAGGCAGAAATATGGTCCGCCGACCCGGACCGGAGCAGTTCCTGGACTTGAGAGTTGATCCGGCTGACCTTGGAGCTCTCACCTCTTCTCTCTCTGTTGGATGGCGAGGATGTTCTCGCTAGAATTCATAGCGAGAAAAACCAAAGTCATAACTAATGAATTTTCTTGAAGTTGTTCAGACGGTGTTTTAAAATTGACTTATCAATATTTGCATTTTGCGTATTCTATGACATTGAACTCTGCTTTCAAATACCAAAAATTATGGCAGTTCGTTATTCTTTGTTGACTTGTAATATCCGATAACTACGGTTAATTTACGTATGAAATGAAATGTTTTCATTTCGCCAGCTACCCGAAACCGATCTACCTCAGAACCGAAACGAGACAGAAATAGTAACTCCTCGACTTAGAAAAACCCCCAACTATAAAATTGTTTTGGGTCGTCTTACACAAGTGTTTACTCTGTTCAAGGAAACATTTCACGCCGTTGCGAATACAATTTAAAAAGAAAACGTTTGCTTTATCGTCATTACACAAGAGCAACTTCGACATCAGAAAAATGATTGTAATTTTTGAATGGCAAAACCGTCATTAATATGTCTTTCATCTATTTATTTGAGCTACACACATTATTTATTTTCTTAAGCGTATTATAAAAGAATACTCACGTGCGTAAAGTTCTGAGGGACGCTCTGAAAGACGACAGATCAACAAGCTAGATTTGAAAAAATAGTACATCTGCTAGCAATTCGTTTTAACAAAATAATTTTTTTGATAAACTAGAGAAGCCGATTGTCGTTTATGAATAACAGTGCTACAAAAAGTCACCAACACAAAAAAAACAGAAAGCTAGAAGTTATTCCAGAAAGTCAAGTTATCTCTTTTTTTTGCATTCTTTTTAAATAATTCTCCGAAGGAGGGATTGTCGATCGTCATGAAATTATTGTAAGTGCTTAATTTTACCCAAAGTATGGCAAACTTATTTCAATTGTATCATCTTTTCTTAGCTAAGCATAAAAAAAATTCTGGAAGAAACCCATTGCAGTTCAATTTGTTTACTCAGAATTGAGAAATCTTTGCAAGGACATCTCATGCGATTGCATCTAGAAACATTTGTGGGTTTTGAGTTTGCGTAAAAAAATAAAACCCGAACTTCAAATTTCATTTTTTTTAATTTGTCGGGAAAAATCACTCACTCCAAAAAATGTGAATACAGCGAAAAAGCTTTAGTGAAAAGCTTAATGCATCAGAGAAAAACGCTTTGAAAGATTTCTAATTGCAGTAGAAAAACTGCATACCCTACTTTGTTAACTAAGTAAAACGCAATTACAAGAAAGTGCAACCCAGATATTTAAATGGTGTTTATGCACTCAAAATAACTTGTCGAACTTAAAGAGAAGTTGAGAAACAGTATAAAAAAGCGTAAAGATAAAACAATAGAAAGGTTACGTCTCCTCCTCTCAATCGAAAGGTCAGATTTTCGAGGCCCACCATGATCCGTGCTCGTTGCTAGAAGGTGAGGCAACATTACCCAGACCAGAAAAATAACCAAAAAAATTGCGTGTAGCTCTTAAGCAGGTGCACAACAGCGATTCGCCGTAATGAGATGTACAGCTCGCATGTTGGTCCTTTCCCTCGGGGATAAATGGTCTTAAAAACAATGCTTGACATCTTGTGCAGACAGATTAATTGATGCAGACAGATTGATTGAAGCTAATCAGTTTGGAGGTCAAAACTGATTAAACTCAGACAAGATGAACTAGTGGTCCCAAACTAATTAATTAGTCAGTAATTAATTAACTGGTACTTTTGTGATACTTAAGTTGTCATAAAAAAATTCTATTCTCGTTTTCAATTCAATCTTCTACATAAACTACTTCTTCTTAATCCTCAGCTTAAACCTCAGATTCTATCTCAGTCTCTAACCCCAGTCCTTAATCCTAATTGCACTAAATCTGAATCTTAACAGGAAAAGAGCCCAGAATTTTAAGTTTTTTATAATTTTTCTGTCAGAAAATTTAGCTTTTAGCAAGCAGCATTTACCAACGGTGGAGTTGAAACTGGCGGCTTTCAGTGTTAAGTCTGAAGAGTTTGCGGCTTGGTCGACAAAGTTTGGCGCTCATGCACACGATGGGCCTGTTCAGCGCAGTGATGGGCAACGATGATCTGCCAGAGACTGAGTTTACTCTCCAGGAGAGCCCAAATGTTGATCAGCAAGCAGCATATGATACCAAGATGCAAGAGCGATCAGTGGCACCAAGATGCAAGAGCGAACAGTTATCATCTTTTCTTAGCTTAGCATAAAAAACTTTTCTTGAGGAAACCCATTGCCATTCATTCTGTTCAATCAGAATTGGGAAATTTTTGCCAGGAAATCTCACGCGATTGCGTCTGGAAACATTTGTGGGGTTTGAGTTTTTGTGAAAAAATAATACCCGAAATTCAAATTTAAACTTTTTTAGTTTGTCGAGAAAAATCACTCACTTCAAAAATGTGAATGAAAAGAAAAAATTTCGGTGAAAAAAAGTTTTGAAGTCTGCTCTAGCTGAATGTTCTAATTTTTTAAAGAAAGAATGTTTCATTTTGCATTCAAATAAATTTTTCAATTTCCTTAATTGTTTAATTTGTGTTTCAAACTTTTTTCTGTCTTCAGATTTCCACTACAATTATACATTTGTTTCTGATAAACTGAAAAAAATTAAATAAGAGTCTGAAGAAGGATTATTTGCATCTGTTCAAAAGCGTTTTCGATTAATTTTTCCATCAAAAACTTCTATTTTTTGTTAATTGATAATGAATAGCATCGTTAGTTTGCATATTAATTTTTGAATTTTCGAGGTTCAGCCATTTTCTGGACGCTAGTGGTTCTCCGCATTTTTTCTGATTTCCACCACCGTTCGTCAGCTTAACAATGTAATGATCTGTGATTGATATTTTCAAAATTTTTATATTTCAGTCAAGGCTGCTATAAAAATGTTTTAAGCAAGATTTTGACCAGCTGGTTTCTGCTATACGGAAAGTTATGACGAACAAAATTAAGTGAAACGTTTTCTTAAAAGAATTTTAAAAAGTTTATTTTTTTGAGACTTAACTGCTATAGGTCAATTTTCCAATCTAGACTGGCATTAATATATCTGCAATTAACGCAGAATCAATACTAGGAAAATACTTTTAATTAAAAAGTTTCAGATTTGTAATAGTTCAATCTCCGTAGAGGCTGTGCATCAAATTTCTAATTCTGACCCTTGTTTTCTCTTTTGTTTTCAGGGAACAGTCTAGCATTCGAGTCTTGTTTCCTTGCACTCCTTGATCCCACTGATGCAGTACTCAACCTCTTTTTACAGCCTGGCTTTCTAATGCCATCACGTCTTCCTTCTCGTGCACTCTGACAAAAAAATTGATGCACCTTTTTTGTGTGAGCACCAATTCAAGGCAACTGTTTGTGATTGTAATCACGCCCATTCTTTTCGCCGCTGACTTGATTTCGGCCTCACAACTGGGTAATATTTCGGATATGTAAAAACACTTTCTGCTCACAGCGTTTACTTTTCCCCTTAGCTTTTGCCTAGCTCGGAAGGCGTCATCATTGTCCGCAAAGTGAATAAGTTTCCAAATCGCTGAGGGCAGGAGTCCCCTTGAGCCACCCGGTAATATATGACAAGTTTTTATGCAATGATACCTAAGTTTAACACCCTTTAAATTTTTTTGAAAAAATATAATGTATCCGCTGTTACATCTTGAGACCTTGGAATCAATGGGTGGCTTTAAAATAAATACGCAGTCCTTACTTGTATAAATCTCCTGCGCTCTAAGCCTCACTTTCATGTTTTTTTTTTCATTCTCTTGCAAAACTTTTTTGTTTTGGCCTCTTAAGTCGCCAGAGCCCTCAAATTTTCTGTTTCTTCGTGAACAACATCACTTAGATCAGTTTGAATATTCATGGTACTCAAGACACCGCTCAATGCTCCTGTATGATGACCCAGTTGGTCCATTCTTAGCAAAAACTGACAGGTATAACTAATAACGGGTTTCATTTTGAGGTTAGAAAACACGAAATGAACCCCCTAGAAAAACACACAAGAAGCTTGAAATCAAGTGATATAATCCATTGGGAACAGGGGTTTTTTGATTTTTTTTAAACTTGGGTGTCTTTGATTTTGTTTTTGCTTCTCTAATCGAACTCGAACCGCAATTATATATATTCAAATTTGAATCTCAAGCAGAATCTGATTTAGTCTAGAATTTATTTGTATTGCTTTTCAAACACTCTCGAGAAAGATTTTTAAGCGAGAAAACGCAGCAAGTTTGAAACTACTCTCAATTTAAATTTAAAACTCTTAAAATCGACGCTACAGAAACTTTCTAGAGCACTGATTTTGTGGCAACTGTTAAAGTTAAAGTTAAAGTTGGTAGCACCGTTTTCTTGATCAGGATTTTTACTAGTGTTTCATTAATGAGCTCTCAGAATATAGGCTATAATGAGCTTTCAAGAAACAAGTTTTTTTGTTTAACTAAACTCCTCCGCGATCTTAATCACAGCATTGAAATTTTCCAGGTGTGTGAATATGAATTCGACGAGTGTCTTGGGCTAGGTGATTTTTCCAACTCCGTCTTTTTTCCAGCAAAAAAAAGCGGTAAAGCTGTGTCAGGAATTCAGTGATTTCAAGCGTTTCTATGCGTTTTACCATTAAATGGTAAGAAAAAGCACAGTTTAAGTTCATTTAAGTTTTTGCATTAAGTCCTCGTACAATCAGTGTTTGAAAACTTTTCTCATGACTTGAAATGAGTTGAGTATCAGAACAGTTTTTGACTGTGCATTATCTTATTCATACCATCCTTATACTCATACCCATATTCCGCTAAATTAGTTCACATGCCTCAGGGTTCATTAGAAATAGTTGACTTTATTTTTTGCAAGCAATCAAAATAGTAATGATGATTTGATTTTTACTCAGTTTTAAATATCGGGTCACAAATTACTATACAGCTCGAAACTATTATGATTATCTCGGTGTTGTCTGTGTAAATAATAAAACGCAGCAGTAGTTATGATTTGATTTTTACTCACAGTTTTAAATATAGGGTCACAAATTACTATACGGCTCCAAATTACAAATTACAAATTACTATACTCAAAATTTTTGGGGCCTAGGAAATTAGATAAGAAAATAGACGACCGTTACAACGGAATTTACGGACAAACCAGTATTTAATCAGCCAAAATTTAATTTAAGTCTGTAAACAAATTTCACGCAATTTGTTCGCTAGTTATTGTCCAAATTGGGGTTTGATAAATTAGACGATAAGCAAATTAGACGGAGGTACTTAAAAGGAAATTAGAATTAACTTTGTTTGCACACAAATTGCGTTAGAAAAATAAAATTGTTTGTAGACAACAGTTCAATTTCGGTGGCCGAAAACTTTACAAGTCAATCATGCATAATTTATTCAATTCAAAACTCTCCTGTAATATTCAGATTTGACATTTGATGTTCATTTAAACTAATTGATAGGTATTGGCATTTTATGTTCTTTTTGTATTTGTGAAACTTGACTCTTAAGAAAAATTTTTGTTGGCCCTTTCCCTTTCGTGTAAAATGCCAGATCTGTAAAAAATAAATTCCGTCTAATTTCGTTTTTGTAGCATCCGTCTAATTTGCTTATCGTCTAATTTCCTAGGCCCCGTCCAAATTGGACAATCAGTATTTACTCTGCCAAAAGATAATTTAAGTCTGTAAACAAA